CTAGGAATAACACATTCAAACATACAAAAAAAAGGACAGCAAGATTGCCCATAACAATTTCGAGAATCAAAACACCTGATTTTTATTTTTCACTTCCTAAAAAAACTCCCATCCTATAGAACAAACTAAACCTACCTCTCATTAACGAACGGAGTGGGCTAAACATTTTCATTTTGAATAATATTCTCATCCTCGAAATAAGTGATTTCGGAAATTTTTAAGCAAAATAAAACAAATTAAAAATGCTGGTATCACCGTATTTTTCGTGTTAACATAACACTTAAACTTGTTCCAGCGCTAGTGTCAGGCATAAGTGGAGTCAATAAAACTATCATATTTCTCTTTTGACGACAAATCGATAATTAATGAGAGATATCCATGCTCTCAATCACGTCGTACTTGATTTCTTTCTGCTTCAGGATTTTGGTCGAACCGAGCTTAAACTTGTAGTCAAGATCAACTGGCTCTGGTTGCACACAGAACTGCGGCACTATCGGACCCTGAAATAATAAAATTACAGCAATTAAAATATCAGCAAAGTCATTCAGATCCACTCGCAAAGAGCGTGAACGACCGGAAATTGCTAAAACTCGGCTCATCTCGGCTGGCCTCGAGTCATCTCGGCTGGCCTCGAGTCATCTCGGCTGTTTTACTCTAACGTCCTCAATAACGCTACTTTGCGGGAAGTCTCGTCTGTGCCGCTTGTTGGATCTCATGCGTAAGGGGATGGCGGGTGGGCAGGGGACAGAGGGTGGTGGGTGGGCGGGGAAGGGGGGCTGTACGTGAATGGGCGTGGAGGGGGTTTTGGTTGCTAAGTGCCTCGAGACAGTCCAAGCGGCACAGGCTGGGGGCAGGACATAGAAGGGGAATAAGCCTTTTTATGAAGCTGTCTATAAAGCTGATGCTAAGGTAAAGCTCAGAGCTCTCAGCTTTACCTAAGCATCAGCCATTCGATCTTTCAGCTTTTCCTAAGCATCAGCTTCATAAATGGAGAAGCCCTTTTCTAAGAACGGGTTCTTCGTTTGCTTAAAACTTCAGTATTTATGAAGCCGACGCTTAGGTAAAGCTTCCGTATTTATGCGAGCTCTAAGCTTTACCTAAGCAGTAGCTTCATCTTATTCGCTTCCAGCTTTCTTTACTTAAGCATCAGTTTTATAGATGGGGATGTCTCCTATTGATCGAGGGTTTTTCACGTGTTTTTCCTGCTTCTACTTTTTTTTGTTTTTCTCACTTCCAGCTATTACTCCCTCCTCCCCCTACGTGGTCTAGATGCTTAGGTAAAGCTTCCGTATTTATGAGAGATCTCAGCTTTACCTCAGCATCAGCTTCACCTTATTCGCTTTTAGCTTTCTTTACTTAAGCATCTGCTAAAGGACCTATGCCACGTGGCTATTCAATGTACTAAGCCCTTCCCCTGCCTCGAATCCATGTGCGAGAAACCCGCATACATCAGTCCCCCTCCCCCCCTCCTTCACACCCATCCCAACTCCCTCCCCGTTTTTCGAACCCAACACCCAAAAATGTGCTCATACACTGCCAACCCT